CCACCTCCCCCTCCTGCGGCCGCGGCTCCTCCATCGCCGGCCTCCACCTCCTGGGTCCTCAACTCCAACCTCAACTGGGGTCCTCCATCCCCAGCCTCCATGGTTTGGTCTCGTCTGTCTCCATATTTGGTCTCCTCCATCTCTTGGCTCTTCAAGTCCAACCTCAACTGGAGATTCCCCATCTCCAACCTCCATGTTTTGACCCCTCCATCTCCAACCTCCTCCATATTTTGGCTCTTTCATGTCCAGCCTCCATCTCTTGTATCCTCCAACTCCTGGCTCTTCAAATTCAACCTCAACTGGAGAAGCTCCACCTCCACCCTCCATATTTTGGCTCTTCAATCTTCCAGCCTCATCCATCTCCACCCTCCATATTTGGTCTCCTCCATCTTTTGACTCCTCCATCTCCTGGCTCTTCAAATCCAACCTCAACTGGAGATCCTCCACCTCCAATCTCCGTATTGTGACCCCTCCATCTTCCAACCTCCTCCACCTCTTGGCTCCATCTCCAACCTCCATGGTTTGGTCTCCTCCATCCCCAACCTCAACTGGAGATCCTCCAGCCTCCATATTTCGTCTCCTCCATCTCCAACCTCCATCTCCTGGCTCCTCCATCCTCACCCCTCCCTTTCCAGGCTCCTCTCCTTACCCCCATCCCTCTCCTTTGCCCCCGCAGTGGACATCACCCTGGACCCAGCCACGGCAGGACCCGAAGTCATCCTCTCCGAGGACCTCAAAGTGGCCACCTGGGGTCGACCCAGCCACCAGTGGCCCCCGGGCCCGGCGCGATTCGACACTGACCCCTGCGTGCTGGGCCACCAAGGCTTCACCTCGGGCCGCCATTACTGGGAGGTGGAGGCTGACGGCCGCTTCTGGGCCATAGGGGTGGCCCGCGAGTCGCTGCAGAGGCGAGGCCGCCTCCTCTTCAAGCCCAACACCGACATTTGGGGGGTGCAGAAATACGAGGGGCTCTGCGTGGCCCTGACGGCCCCTTCCAACACCTCCGTCCCCCTTCAGGATGGGGACATCGGGGTCTTGTTGGACTACGAGGCCGGAGCTGTCTCCTTCTACGCCGCCGGACGGCACCAGCGCATCTTCACCTTCCCTGGGGCCTCCTTCGGCGGAGAAAGGGTCCTCCCCTACTTCGGTGTCCTCCTTTCCACCATCAAATTGGGCCCCAAAAAACCCTGAGGTGTCCCCCCTCCCCGAAAACGCCGAGGTTGGAAACCTCAACCCCTCTTCTCCAGGTCTTGGCCTCACCTCAAGCGTAGACGGCTCTGTTTTGGGGTAAATCCATGGGGTTTTGGGTCATCCCCACTGAAAGTCGCTCAATGGTGGCACCGAGATGGTTTGGAGGGGAAAATTTGGGGGTTTTCTACCCAAATTGAGCCCTGTCGGGGCCTGTTCAGGCTCCCAAGCGGAATAAAGTACTTGAATTTTGGCGATTTTTGGGTCAACGGCGCGGTTTTAAAGGGAATTTTTTGTCAGGGGGATGGGCTCGTCCTCAATTTTACCCCCAAGTTAGGATGAATTTCTGCTTAATTAATGTGCGATTGATTATAAATGTGCTCAGAATTTAATAAATATTGTCTGGGGCTGGAAGGCGGCGTTGTCTGCGTTTAATTCACCACCAGAAAGACCCTCGAAGGTTATGTTCTTAATCTATTTATTGGATGAGAGGAGATAGAGAGGAGAGAGGAGATATGAGAGAGAGGAGAGAGGAGATATGAGAGAGAGGAGAGAGGAGATATGAGAGAGAGGAGAGAGGAGATATGAGAGAGAGGAGAGAGGAGGAGGAGAGAGGAGATAGGAGAGAGAGGAGAGAGGAGATATGAGAGAGAGAGAAGAGGAGATATGAGAGAGAGAGAAGAGGAGATATGAGAGAGAAGAGGAGATAGAGAGAGAAGAGGAGATAGAGAGAGAAGAGGAGATAGAGAAGAGATATGAGAGAGAGGAGAGAGAAGAGAGGAGATATGAGAGAAGAGAGGAGATGAGACAGGAGAGAGGAGAGAGATAGAGAGATAGACAGGGGAGAGGATATATGATATGAGAGGATATATGATATGATGAGAGGAGAGAGGAGAGGAGATGATATATAA